ATAGTTTGATAGAGTAGAAAGTGGTGAGTCAGTGCAAGGTTGACCCAGAAAAGAAAAATTAAAAAGGACAGGCTATACCCAATGTGAATGTTACATAGGGATATGTGATTTAATGATTTTCTTGAAGCATATATACAAATAAAAAAATGTGTTTTGCAATTTCTAATCTTTCAACAAACAGTACAACTTCTGAGACTCAGTTTCCCATTGTTTTCTAGAAAAGCAGACATTATGTAAGAGAGGCCCTAAAGTACCAGTTTGTTCTTACTTTCTGTGATCTGCTAAGTATAAAAGGTGTTCTTTTAGCCCCCAAAAGAAAATAAATTTATATTTTTAATCTTTGCAAATGTACATCTCAATTATAATTTTACAGCCATAATTTGTTATTGTCTGTATATATATATATATATATATATATATATATATAGTCTGTCATTGTCCTCTTATAGTTTCCTTTCATATTCATGTTCAAGTTGTAATGCACTTAGAATCTTTTGTGTGGCTAATCATATTTACGATACTAATGATACAATCACCCCAAGTCCTCACTTAACTTTGTCAATAGATTTTGAAAACTGGGACTTTAAGAAATGACATATAAAGTAACCAATTTTGCCAAGGGCTACTTGATATAAACAAGAGTTTTGTTGCTATGGCATATTTCCGGTCACAAAAACATCTCCAAACTTCTAAATGAGATCCTAAAAACTAATATTAAATCTTGAAGTAAATGTGAGCTATATTACATTTAAGAAAGAATAATAAAAATAAGTAAGATACGTAATTATCTTCCAAATTGCTTATTCCAGTTCAGGGTTGAGGGCAACAAGAATCTATTCTGGCAGGTTAGTCATTCCCACACTCACTGACACTGGGACAATTTAGATATGTCAGTTCACGTAATGTGCACATCTTTGGGACATGGAAGGAAACCAGAGTACCTAGACAGAACCCACTTGCACCTGGACATGAAAACGAATGCAGAGAGGCCATGTCTGGAGCTGATTTCCCACCCCCCACCTCCCACCAATGTTATAAAGAAATGACCTTACGCAAAACCACAGTGCTGCAGGACCTGCTGTATAGTGAATTAAATACGTTGGATTCTATTTTCCCCCTGTATTCTTTTCAAAGCTAACTTTCTCCCCTAATTTTCATATGGGCTGTCTCATAAATTAACTGATTTTTATACTGAGAGTAAATCTCTGAATCATTGAATATTATTGAAGAATCCTTTAAAATTAACTAATACAAGGTGACTTATGACTTTTATAATATTCAGTGAGAATATGATATTTAAAGTTCAGGCATTAGTGTTTTTTGTTTGTTTGTTTGTTTTTTAGTTTTTTTTAGTTTCTAAAAGTGAAAGTGAAAAAATTATATGTTCCAAGGATTTTCATTAGATTGTTTCTTTACACAAAGTACACTGTACATGATTAAAAGAGCCTGCATGTGTATGTCCCTTCAAAAATCCAAATTAATATTCCCCCAATTTTTTTCTGTAAAATTAATCATTATGTTTTATACCTTAAAACTGCTCATATGATCTACCATTTCTTCAAATTATTGATGCGCATATCATAACTAATGCCCAAATGAAGTGATAGTCTTCACATAGGAGGAATAAATTCATGAACTGTGGTTCACTTACATTTTAATTTAAAAAAATTAATCATTGGGTGTGAAACTTTAATGAATGAAGGCTGATTTCCCCAAAATGTTAGACTGTCAAAAAGTTTTGAATTTCATTGCAGCGAGCCAGATTCAGCAACCATTTCCATGTGATAATGTTTGAACTTCAGCTAAGCAGCCTTAATTAGACTAATAAGATAGCCTTCATAAAAATGCCTCTATGAAAGTGCATCCAGTAAACTTGTTATTCTTTTCCCTCTGGAACTTAACATCTAACTTACACATTAAAAACTTTGTAGCTAACTAATATATCACAACATGCAATTTTCTAAAATAGTGAAAAATATAGTTAACACATAATTTGTTAAAATGTGTTTAAACCTATATCCCATACAAAAACTATTAATTAGCTCTCATTGGGTACAGAAATTATTTGGACTTTGAAATGATTGATTGATATTCTTAAAATGCAAATCAATAAGCCACTGATTTAATTTTGCATTGACTTTCTTGTGTTACTTTTGGAAATCTGTATCTCATGGTTCATGATGCCTTAAGATATTTTGTGATGTGTCACTCAGATTCATTTACACGTTTGAGTGTTATAACAGAGCTTCTGAACTATAGCTTCACGTTAGAGTCATGTAAAACATGTTGGACAGGCCTCCAAATCCAGTATTTTGATTAAATTAGCTTGAAGTGATTTTTGTGAAAAGTTTCTCAGGTTATTCCAAATTGAAGCTACCTTTGAGAACCACTAAATGGGAGGATTGGGGGATAATGAAAATGTTTTGCTTGTACTATGCTAGAACAGATTTCCAAGAGAGAAGATCGTCTGAATTGATTATATTTAGCTGGCTCCAGGAATGACATTTGTTATGCCATGTCTGGACCAGCTAATGCTTTGAAGTTCTTCCTAGTTCACTGACTCTAAGATAGTATAGTGTTCTATCCATGTTAACAACTATTTCATATTTTTTTCCTTGATAGAGCACATAGTGACTCATCGATTTTTAAAACATGCTTGTGAATAATATTATAGAAGCAAGCTATGGGGAGATACATCCATTCTGTCAAAGATTCATTATCTGTACCAACAAAATATAATCCATGAAATTGCAATGGAACCCTTTGAAAATTAAAATGACACCAACAGCAATCTGAATACAATCAATACTGAGTCTAGGTGTACTAATGACAAAAAGAGATAAAGAAATGATCAAAATTGTGAGGTGGTAATCAATGATGTCTTCTTGGAAGCACTGCTTTATGACAAAATCAGAAGGAAGCGATGCATTTCAAGTCAACAATGAAATTTCAGTCAACCAAGGGACTCTGTGTAAATGGCACAGTGAATAAAATGAGAATAAGCTATGGTGCTCACTGTAGAGGCCTTGATTATCTCATTCAGGAGGAGGCCCATGGAAATACAAAGGTAGAATATGCTAGAAGAGCACAGCAGAGGGTGGGTTTATGTCATATTACAACATTGTGTGCAACTTCACAGGCAAAATGAATTTGAACAAAGGAAGTGTTAGAGGAGAATGATTGGGAGGATGAATAAATGCCTTCCAACATTACTACTGACATAAATTACAACATGGAAGCACAACACTTTCTGGGATGTTCAGGGAAATAATGCACAGGATGAGTGAAAGAAGCATGTCACGGAGATAAGAACACTCAATTGTGTTTGGAGAAACAATAGCTCAATTCGCCAGACTAGACTGAGAGAAGGACTCAAGTGAGAGAGCAAGAAGAAAAGTTGGCCAAGCTTGAGGGCAAGAGAGGGCTCTGAAAGGTTGTTTGAGGAGTTTGACATGCAAACATCCCAAGTAGCAACATTCCCAAAGAATTCCAAACATAACTGAAATAATAATAATAATAATGATAATAAAAATATTAATAATGATGATGGTGCCTGGTCTCAACTAGTCTCTTGGTTGTGTTAACCTGAAATTTAGCCAGATGGATATGTTAATCTTTAGAAGAAGAGCAGTCACAATCCTCAGAATTTTATTTCAAGGAACAAACTTACAGAAAATTCTTTCATTTCAGGATTGGAATGCTGTCATTCAGTACTTTCTTTCTCAGCTCTCTCCATGGAGAAACAACACATTTCCTTATTCTTAATTTATGTAACTAATCTGTTATCAAGCTACTAAATGTAATATTTTGATCAAATGCTTCCCTGAAGCATGTATTTCAGTTTTATTTAATTATTATATCTTTTATTTCAAGATCTTTTTTTATCCTTTCTGTATCCCGAATTCCTAAAAAATACACTAGAGACAGGAAAAAACCCCCACAAAAACCCACAAACCCCACATTGTATAAAAGGTAATTAGCACGTCCTCTCCTTTTTATAACTTTATAATTGAAATCTCATTAAAAGCTTTCTAGGTCTCAGCTCCCTTAGTGACCAGGTGTCCCTAATTTGTTTTTAAACTAATGCGACTAATTCCAGGCACTGACTAGAAAAAGTCGAATACCTGTTGGAGAACAGCAACAGCAAGGTTAAATAAGTGGGGTGGCTTTTTAGGTTGCCTTTAACCTTGTTTTTTTTCTCTTTTTTTTTTTTCCTTTTTTTTTTTTAAGGCTTCAACGTTTCTTCTCCCAGAGTCCTGCTTTTCCCTCCCCTCCAGTCCCGGTTGAAGATTCCAGGGGAAATGAGAGCACTATTTTGTTTCTGCCTTGTATTGCAGATAGGGGGAGGAGGAGGTGGTTATTAGAGAGAAGCTCTTCCTCTCTCGGTTTCCCCCTCTCTCCGCCTGGCAGCTCCGCTCTCTCGCAGGCTCGCTGGCTCTCCCAGCCTTAGGTGATCCATTTCTAGGCAACAGCGGGGCCGGTGCCTAAGAAGAAGCTGCCCAGCTCGCGCTCTCCTCGCTTCCCCTGCATCCCGCCAGGCGAACCGCTCCGAGAGCATCCTGCAGCCGCCGCCGCGGCTCCCTCCGCCCGCCCGCCCGCCGCCCGCTGCCCGCGCCCAGCGGCTCCCCCGCCAACCGCGCCCGAGCCATCGCCGCCCGGGCCCGCCTCGCCGAGCTCCGCGCAGGAACCGGATTTTCTCTGCATCACTATCTGCATTACCTTCAAGTTCACTTTTCCTTCCCTCTTGGAGAGGCTCCCCGCTCACTCTCACCCCCCTCTCCCCCCCATCCCTGCTTGGAGAGCCTGGCAGCTCCGCTCGGAAGGAATCTCCCGATCTTTCCTTTCCACTTCGATTTGGTTTTGGCAACGGAGACAAGTGCTTCTCTGCGGGGCCCTGCGGGCCGAGGGGCCGAGGGGGGGCCGTGCTTTTTGGCCGGGGCGGGGGAGGGGACATCCGGCCGGAGGAGGGGGTGGGTCTGCTGGAAGTTGCAGCGGAGCCGGGACGCGAGAGATCCGGGCCCGGCGCCGCGATGGGCCAGGTCTGAGCTGCAGCCTCTCCCCTGCCCGGGTGCAGCCGGGGCTGGATACATTTTTTTTTTTCTTCTTCTTTTTCTTTTTCTTTTTTTTTTTTTTTTTAAAGAAAAGCCCAAAACTGCAAACAACTCCGGCGATGCCAACATTCCCTTCTAAGTGACACGGCTTGGCGAAGGAGGATTCCTTGGGCTGAGCTCTTTCGCTCGTACTCGCCCTGCCTTCCTCTTCTTCGGCGACTGATTCAAGGCTTTGGCTCTGGCAGCTGCAGGAATAATTTTTTGGGGGGAAGGAAAGCAAAAGCTGCGCTCAACTCCACCGTGACCTCCAACTCTTTGCACTGTGTGTGTGTGTTCCCATCATCTCGAAAGGAAATCCTCTGTGAAAAAAAAGAAGAAAAAAAAAAAGGAAACCAGCCGCCGAGGAGGAGGAGATGGAAGTTTTCCCCTGGTTCTTGGTGTTGTCCATGTGGTGGTCTCGAACCTGGGACGCGGGGAGTGCGGATTCGATCATCCACATCGGTAAGTGCGGGCGGGGGCCGCCCGTGGGCACTTTTCCCGGCTTCGGTCCCCGATGTCCCCCCTCGGCGTCCCCCTCTCCTCTCGGCGGCGGCTGCGGTCCACGGCCGCGTCCGCAGACCCTCCCTCCCCGCACCCGGTCGGCGTCCCAGGCGGGCGCGGAGGATGCGCGGCCCCGGGCCCGGCGGGCGCCGCGGCGGGTTGGGGTGCATCGCGGAGAGCGGGCTGCGCGCGCGGGGGTCCCGCGTTCCCCCCGGGGCGCGTGTGCTGTGTGCCGTGTGTGTGTGTGTGTGTGTGTGTGTGTGTGTGTGTGTGTGTGTATGCGCGTGGTCTCAAGTGTCTGGGAGAGGGAAGTTGCATGGACGGACTTCAATTTCCATCTTCTCCCTGGATACACACTCGCTCTATTTTATTTATTTATTTATTTTTTTTTTTTAAGAGGATCTTGGAGGGAAGCGGAGAGGTGTCCCCTGCACGGCGGAGAGAACCGGGGTGGGAGGCTGGGGGCGCTCCCTTCGGATCGAACAGGTGGTTTTGCAACGTGAGCCGCCGCCGCCTCCGCCGCATCAGCGCCGGGCGCTGGGCGCTGGGGCCGGGCTGCCGGGGGCGCCCGCAGCGGCCGCCGCCTCTTCCTCCTCCTCCTCCTCCCCGCGGCCCCTCGGCTTGGCGGTGCGGAGTCGCCGCGGCGGTGGCGGGAGGGGCGGGGGCGGCGCGGCTGGGACCGGGCTCCACGCGCCCCGCATCCCCGGGCTGAGCCCGGCCCCGCGGCGCTCCGGCCGCTCGGGGAGCAGATGCGCGCCGAGCACCTGCCTCGCCTCGCAGGCGACTCTCGGTGGTGACAGCGCCAGGCCCGGAGCGGGGGCGCTGGGGCTCCGGCGGGGCGGCCGGACTCCGGGAGAAGGACCCCGAGCCGCGGGGAGATGCTCTGGGCTCCACCTCTGGGCGCCCGGACTGGCCGGGGGCGGGCGGGGGCTCCGCGTCATTATCATGCAGGGCGCTCGCGGCTCAGGCTCCAACTCCTCTCACTTGCTAATCCATGAGAGCCGAGCGCGGAGAGGAGCTCTTGCAGCCAGTTCTGCGTTAATGCAATTTCCCTTTTGGAAATCCGCCTGTGCGGGCCAGCGAGATGCCCTTATTGGGCTGGAGAGAGGCCCCTCTTGGGGAGTATTTCTGGGCACAGGACTTTTATCTGTCCGCAAGGCGTGATGTTCTGCAAATTGAGGAGACAGATGGATCGCAGCATCTCCCCTTTCGGTCCCCCGCCCCTCCCCCGCGCAGCACACGGACACACACACACACTCTCTCCCTCCCTCCCTCCCTCCTTGGCTTTCCCTCTCCCTCTATCTGGCTCCTGTAAGCCTAACCTGCTGCAGGTGGCGGTTGTGCCTGCCCAAGCCAGGGTCTTCTATCACGTGCCTGCCCAAAGAGGCTGGCCCCTGGGCTCCAGGGGGCTCCCTCTCTCTGGGTCTCCGAGATTGTCTTTGTAAACATGTCTGCCATTCTCTATTATTTATATCAATAGAACCATATGTCTCCGTGCAAAGAGTAATGAGGTCAGAATCCAGAAAACCTTGCACTTAGGCATTAAGTAAATTAAACGCTGGATAGCTTGCCTGTAGATCACCTTTTGCTTGGGGGGGCTAATAGTGCCTGTGGGTTCTGAACTTTTCAGGAGAGAAATGATGATCTTATGGAGGGGTTCGGCAATGTTTTTGGTGGAGTTCAGAAATGAACTGGGCTCCTCTCTTAAATAAATAACTTATATTTATGTCCAGTTTAAATGACTGCAACAGGAATGGAGATATATGTATCATTGTACTTTTGCATTCATTTTATGATTAGGGGTTTCTGCCTTATGCTCTTTATCGCTCAGGAGGGAAGGCTTGCGGATTCATGCTTATTTCATTGCTTTTTCTGTGGTCTACACAATAAATACTCTATTTGCAAACACCTACAGCTCTTGCTATCCTTTACCAGATGAATACTATTTTGCAATGCAGTCTGGGCTATTTGTTTCAAAATAGAACACAACTGTTGTATTTTTCCCCCCTTTCCATTCTGTTGTCTGTCACTGTGACATGGCTTGCTTATTTATAACTAGACCAAAAAGTAACTGTGTACAAATTACGGATTTCTTTAGAAAGCTGGTTGTATGCATGAACTGTGCGTGTCCTACTAAAAGAAATCGTTACTTCTTAGACAATTAATTGGACTTGAATGCAATTAGTACATTAGACAAGAGGATTAGCTTCTTTTATAGACTACCTAATAATGCCATGAAGCTAGCAAATTGATGATTGTTTCAAATGCTCCATATCCTTTACAATATAGTGAAAATGTTATCTCCTAAATTAAAAAAAAAAAAAAACCGACAGAAGTAAGACTAATTTGTGTGCACTTCAGAGGTTAAAATTATCTCCCCCTTCCGCCCCTACCCCAGGCTGACTATAATAAATTCAAAACTAAATGCTCATATATTACAATTGTAAAGCACCTGTTACTATTCATCGATCAGCTTACTTGCTTGGTTGGATAGGAAAAGAGAATTCATTATGTCTAAGAGGTGACTGCTTTCATTTGATATTTAATCTGAGAAATATGCTTTGATATTTAATCTGAGAAACATACGCACGGTAAATCTATTATTTCAGGACTAAGGGGATGAAAGTGATGAAGCAGGAGGGAGAGAATATTTCAACTCTAGAGATATAAGGAGATATGCAGAAATGAAAGGTTTCCACAGCCTTATGTGATGTGTTTCAGCAGAAAGTAGCTGTAATGTGCAGTTCAGGCAAGCTGGAAAGATAAAAGACACTGCTGCAATAGGTTTCTTTTGTTTGCCTGTACTTTCACCATCCTGTATGTATTTATTGAACACCTTCTCCACATACTTCAGTGTGGGGCATATAGATTTAGTGTAAGACCTCGCCTTGATCTCAGTGACTTTAGTTTTGTTTTTTAATTCAATTGAATGTATGGGTTAATAAAATCATATAGGTTTCAGGTGTACACTTCTATAACACTCCTTCTGTATATTGTATTGTGTGTTCATCACCCTAAGTCCAGTCTCCTTCCATCACCATTTAGCCTCTCTTTACCTTCTTTATCTCCCCTCCCCCCTTTCCTTCTGGTAACTATTGGTGTTTGTGTTTTTAACTCCCCCCTCCCCTAATCCCTTTACCTTTTCCACCCATCCCTCAAACCCCTTCCGATCTGACTCTGTATCTATGAGTCTGTTTCTTTTTTTATTGTTAATGTTGTTCATTAGATTCCACATATAAGTGAGATCATATGCTACTTGTCTTTTTCAAGACTAATTTGTATGCATTACAGAGGTTAATATATGTCACTTAGCATAATACTCTCCAGGTCCATCCATGCTGTTTCGAAAGGTAAGATTTCCTTCTTTTTTATGGCTGAGTAGTATTCCATTGGAAGAGGTTCTTTAAATATTGAATCCTTTTGGTATTGAACCAAAATATATGTATGAAAACTCTCTCCATTCTTCTTTCTTTCTCTTTGTTTTCTACTATTTATGCAGGTAGATTAACATAGTCAATTACATATTTTAAACTCTAACATGTTTTATTAAACAGATTAGTTCACTACAATGAGATATAGTCTAATGAAATGATTAAATTAATGATTGAAATGGAAATGTGTTTATTGCAGTTAAAATGCCTAATACCATTACTTTGTGTTTCTGTTAAAGCACATTATTAAAAATTTTGATAATTCTACACACTGTTTAATATTCATACTCACAGACACAGTGTGTAGAAACGGATCACCTTCATTGTGATCTTCCTCAGCCCCCACCCCAAAAGAAAGGTCTTTTGACACATTAAAAACTATGCAATTTTGAAATTATGCTTCTACTTTAAGGCTGTGCATTGATTGAGTAATTTCATCAGACCCACATTACTTGATTGCTTAGAAGTTTCCTAATGATCTGCATGCTGTAGGAAGAACCAAAAAGTCGTGAGAGGAATGGCAATGATACTGTGTTTTATGAGGCTATTCAAAAGTCGCTCTGATTTATGTAGCTGGAAAGCTCCAAAGTCTTTGAGATTAGCCACGCCGAGTGCTATTTTCTTCATACATCAGTCCTCTCACACTCTTGACTCCCTTAACACAACAGGCGTTTAGAGCACTGCTTTAATTAAGCAGGGATTAGGTGGCATTTCCAGCCAACTGCACAGTTTGTGCTTTGCTTCATATCTAATATGGAGGATCTCATGTCTTAGCAGCTTAATGTATGCTCATTTCTTTATCTGGTTCTTGTGCTCACAGAACTGATTGCAATGAGCTACCCTCAGTTATATATCTCTGCAAGGAAACACTGACACCGAGTACTTATTCATTTATTACAAAAATGACTAGCCTGTTTTTGTTGTTGGCAGTCATGGCAAAAAACCTTATGCCAGCAGGAAACAGAAACCAAGCATTTATTCATGTTTTTTCCTCATAAGCCATTGATGCTGTATCCTCCAAATCATAATCATCAACTATGACATTTGAGAAGCCTGACACAATTCAGAGTGTTTCCATCATGAGAAAGTGCAAATTAAAGTACAAAATTGGTGGCTGAGTAAAATGTGACAGTGCATGATAAAACAAAAATTGAGGGTAGATTTTAAACCATCAGTTTTTATCCTGTTGCTATTGAGGACTGTTCTATCAAATACAGAATGTAAAAGCATTTCCACTATGATTTGCATTGTTGAATGATAGCCCCCAGGAGTCATCAAGGACTCTTCCCATCATAGAAAGTATCTCAGTGATTTAACTTATCCTCTTGTTTTTTGTAAGAGTTTATTGCTCTCTGAATTATGGGTAATATATATTGTAGTATAAGCTTAGAATGTATGAAGAAGTAGCTCCTGAATTTAAAATAAGTTTATACTTTACCTTTATTCTGTGTCATTAAAACAGTTATTTGAGCACAGTTTAGATGTGCATTAACTTAGACAATGTTATCATTCAATGATATCAACTGTGAC